TGAGAGAGCCCATCCACTATTCTACTTTCAGTTACCTGTAATTTTATGTAAACCAAAACCACAGAGAAATGTAAATTCCTTGGTTCAAAGCTTCATGTGACGTTCTTTGTCACCAATTTATGTCAACCAGAAGCGCCATGAGACAAGCTATCTTCGCAGAGTGTAAATACCTAGCTTTTGAAAAGTTATGAGTCTAATAGGTTCGTCAAATTCTAAGCTGAACTGCTGAAAACACAAATTTTGCTGGGTAGCTTCCAGTACAATACTCAGTACTCAGTTTGCTGCTCAGGATTGTCATGTGCGCATGGGCACTCGATTAACTGATCCACATTTGTCCACAAATCACAGATCTGCGCACACTGGTGTGAAATCTTGGGCACACGAGCAACCATTTAAAGAGCTGATCAAGTTAATCTCGGGTACCCTGGGTATGTGGGAATCATATGCCCATAAATATACACATATTTATTGCGTCTTTTGAATAAAAGTGCGATTCATTGTTTTCACATGTCATCGTTCTGAGACTTGACGAAACTTTTAGCCTTTGTTCACAAAACTTGTCGAAGACTTGAATCTCGCTTCTTGGTCTAGTGCCCTGATTTCAAAACAAAGTTTGCCCGGGAACAATCTTGTCACAACAAAAGTCAAAGGAATTCCCCGGTGACAGATACATTCCTGTGGTTCCTCATCGAATACACTCGGTTTGTTAAGACTGCTTCCTCCTCCCAGGAAAAGCAAGTCAGGTAGACAAATAACGGCAAAATATTTCGCTGCCATGTTTGAGTTGGCCAGGACCAGCAGCTTGATAACTCCCAAAGTAGAACATGCAACCGATAATTTCTAAAGCCTTCGGAGGTTCCACGTGCGGTTTCATGGCTCCAGTTGTGAAGCTGCATTTATTCACTAGATTAACTGTTGAAACTATTTAATCTAGAGATTGGTCATGTATACTAGTGATTACTTGCCTCACGGAAGATCTCTTTGGGACTTTTGCGTGTACTGGCTGGCGTAGAGAAGTGTAACGCAAGTGTTTCCTGCTTCCTCGACATCTTCACTCCACAAAGGTTCTCAAATCGTGCGGGTATAGTTTTCTTACCAGAAGATTCACTGTTCGTTGACTGATAGTGCACTCGCTACCTGGAAGAAAACTCGTAGAAGTTTTGAAGGAATTTAGAGGGTTGGCCGAGATCCGGTACTTGCATGCAGTTTGTTGCACCATTCCATCAGCATCTTGCAGACAGCACTTTCCAGTAGAAATGAACAACAGAATAGCCTTTTCCGGGAGGAATGGCAATATTGGTTCTGGTAGGCTTGTTTTAAGTAAGGTTTTGAAAAGTTCGCACTGGTCAACTGGGGCGTGCTCCTAATCCAATTTCAGCAATAGTGCAGCAAAATCAGCAATGAACAATCGTTTGACCTGGGTCTACACAGGTATTCTAAGGTGGATGATCCTAAACAATCTGCATGCATTGTTTGTCCAAATCTGCTCTACTCGGTTTGCTATCCTTCATTTACCTATTACTTGTATCACCATTCAGGCGCATGTATTCCATGCGTATCAAATCGTGCGTGCAAACAAAATTCCAATGGAGAATATAATTACCTTCACCTCCGACGACACTGCAAACAATCCCAAGTAAATACTGGGTACAAATATTTTTTCCCGTCTGTAGCATCTAGACTGTAGAAGACGGGTTTCGTTCTTTGGCTTTGAAACGTTCCAGTTTTGAGGAGTATTTCTCATGAATATCATGTATGGGTTAAGTCGGCTAGCAGAAATTTATGTGGTTTTGCGCGTCACTTTAGATCTCATATCCCATTATTTTCTTTCGTGTTTCTTCATGAGTGAAAATGCCACCGAACCCTGAGTCATTCAGCACCACATTGAAATGCTGCCATTATGGCGTATCCTCGCTGATAAATAGCAACTTTTCACCATCCCCCATTCGTCAGTAATCTGAAATTAATGGTATCGATAAAAAGATGCCGTTTGAGTGCATCAGCCAGTTGATTATTTGGAACAAGCTTAAAGCATATAATGCAGTAATCATGGCATTTTTAATACAGCCAATCTTTAGGATTAGTGGGGTGAACTTTTAAAAAAAAATGAAAGGTTGGTTCTTGTTTGGAGGCTATACTAATCGGAAGTCATTTTGCCCGATATTATTGCGTTCAAGGGCACCGGGTGAAGATATGCTGTAGCTGGTGGTTGGCTGCATATTCACGTAAAATAAATACCCTTCCACAAAATCTTTGTAATGTTCTATGTTGTCTACGTACAAGGATCATCGTGGAGTATATAGGTCCGTGTCGCGATAAAGATAGTTCATTTAAAGTTAATCGTAATTGTAACGCAAGGTGCACTCATCGTTGTGAAAGTTTATTCAAATACAAGGCTGGAAGCAAATATCCAATAGAATTTAGGAGCACTTCTTTTCTTTCCATTTGAACTAAACGTCTGCCTTCCGAAAATCTCACTGCACCTGTTTTTTATTTTATTTCAGAAATCGTTTCCAGGCCAAGTGTTCCATGACTACGAGCACCAAGATGTCTACAAGATGTGGTAATTGACCACCGTGGTGATGTGAGTCACTGTGCAGCAAGCACATGAATTTGGTCACTGTGAAACACAAAGTGCAATTACACGACACTGGGATTCAGTTGAGTACTGATGAGTAGCACTCACCACAAAAGCGGCTAGTTTTCACATGTAGTTCGTTATTTTATTTACTGAGGTAGACGAGAGTAACTTGGTCGTGCTTCCAGGCAACTCCTGTTTGGATCAACTACAAACAATCGGTTTGAAAAGCACACCCAAATGCCATGCTCGGCAAACAGAAGAAGAATCAACCTCTTCATTTCCCATCTTTTGGCGAAGGTCGTGAAAATAACCTGAGTGAATATGGAGAGCAGATCATAGGTTCCAATTATTTGGCACACTGCATATCGATGGCCACTGTGAATAAAATTAGCCTGTAGAGCACCGTCGTCCCAGAAATAGTTGACGTGGGTCCATTTGTTTCAGGATGTCACACTGGATAACTTCTTGATGGTACTGAAAGGCGATAAAGAGCTTGAAAAAAAAGGGAAAAAGGTGCTGAAAAGGTAAGTTTGCGCGGAAGTTGATATTCTTAAGGCAATTCTTGATAATAGCTAGATATTGGGCGTTTCAGGTCAGAGTTTTGGGCTTTGCAAAATGTGTATTTTTTTATCATTTTCGGGTGTGTACATAATCTAAGTGAAGTTCCAAGAAGTCGTTCAATTTCATGCGCGTCCACTATTCTTTCAATTGTGTGGCCTTTTTGCTGCGCTATCATATGCCTGGGAAGGCAATCCGATAACCTTATCTTCAAGGTATCCTTAACTTACCTGCTCGCTTACAGCGGTCCTGATGATTACGTTTTCATCTTCTTCTCTGGCCATGGCGGGGTTCCCTTTATTGTATTACGAGGAGATGTGGTAAGTTTCGCCATTTTTGATAACCCCGTTTATAGAACAGAGATTTTCAGTAGCGAGCTAAACTGCGAACGTGTAGATGAGGCCAAGATAAGCTTATGTTGAGGCATCATCATCAATTGTTCTTCATAAAATAATGAATATAGCACAAACAGAAAGGTTAGCTGTCTACGGTCTTTCATGCGGCGTGCGTGATACGGAATATTTTTGACATGACAGTATGGTCTTTTTTAATCCTAGAGATGCAGAGGGAATCGTAGGTAGTGTGAAGAGTTTTTTGTATTTCTTTATCGGGCGGCAGTCTGTGAAGAAAAGCCGGGAATCAATGTGCAAATGTTCAATCCTCATTGGGAATCAGCAATGGTGTGACCTGCAGTTGCAACATTTAACCGGCCAGCCTTGGGCGGCTAATCAACAAACATCGTTTTCGCACTATAACGTCGCTCATTCTCTAATCGAGGGACGAGCATCTCAAATGACACTCAACTTGTTACATTCGTCGTGTAAATCACCGTTTCTTCTAAACTACATATTGTCCGTTAGCAGCGTGAGGACTTTTACAAGTTTTCAATCAAACGGAAATCACTCGAAATTCCCGTTAAGCATGATTCGGGTTAAAACTTTCTCTTCACTTTATTTAACCATTCATTATTCCGATCTTGTAGCTACAAGCTTATTCGCTCAAACATTGGTCCTTACGTGCCATTTTCAAGTGAGGTTTTCTTTCTGGTGAGCAGCGTACCTGAGTAACACCACAGAGGATATGGGTTCTCTCATGTCCCGGGCAAACAAATGACTTTTAACAGGGTAGCCATCTATAACCAAATGCGTATTTAGTAAAACGCATTCAAACAGGGTCCTTAAGCTAATCGTGGTGCACAGTGTTCCTTTAAACTCAATAATCATTCAGCAACATTACCCATTCCAAAGCATATACAGCCGCAATTGAAATGCTGGGTTGCAAACCCGGGTACTCTGATCTGAAATTTCACCTTCACTTGCCCAGCTATCTCGAGCTTACGAGAATTTTCCGTCTTGGTTTGTTGCAGCTGCACTCCAGGAAGTTGAACGATACCCTCGCCTACATGTATTGACCGGTAAATCAACTGTGATATTTTGGTGTCCCTGTGCAGCAACCAATTTCCTAAGTCAATACCGTCCTTGTGAACAACAGGTCTTATGCTTTTGACCCGACCAACTTTGATTAGTTTCATTCATGTTCTCTTCTGAGGAGTGTTTTACCATGAAAAATACACACTATACATTTACATACTGTACTTCATATATGGTTAAAACAAGAAACTGGCCTGTACGAACAAAGGAATATCCAACCTTGGCACATTCCCGTCTTCTTCGTGACCCTTGCATGCAGGTGGTGCCCGGATATATGCGAGAAGCGTGAAGCCTGGATTGCACAACATCTAGAGTTCCCCGATTAACGCCGCTTCTGTTACCCGACAAGTTTCATATGCGTGTGAGAAANTTCAGTTGTTTGTCACACTGCAAATCGATGGGTACTATGAATAGAATTATCCTAAAGAGCACTATCGTCCAGGGGCGAGTTGATTCGCGTCCATCTGTTTCAGGATGTTACACTGGATAACTTCGTGAAGGTATTGAAAGTCGATAAAGAGCTTGAAAAAAAGGGAAGGTGCTGAAAAGGTGAGTTTGCGCGGAAGTTGACATGCTTAAGGCACTTCTTGATCATAGCTAGATATCCATCCTTTCAGGTGAGAGTTTTGGGCTTTGTAAAATGCTTATTTTTTATTATTTTCATGTGTGTGTATAATCTAAGTGGAGTTCCAGGAAGTCGGTCAAATTCCTGCGCGTCCACTATTTTTTAATTCAGTGGCCTTTTTGTTGCGCTATCCTATTCGTGGAACGCCATCCGATAAGCTAATCTTCAAGGTCTCCTTAACCTACCTGCTCGCCTACAGCGGTCCTGATGACTTCGTTTTCATTTTCTTCTCTGGCCATGTTGGGGTCCCCGATATTGTATTACGAGGAGATTTGGCAAGTTTAGCGACTTTTGATAACCGCGTTTATAGCACACAGCTTTTTCAGTAGTGAGCTAAACTGTGAACAAATAGATGAGGCCTAGCTAAGCTTATATTGACGCATCATCATCAACTGTCTAAAATAATTATATAACACAAACAGAAATGTTAGTCGTCTACGGACTTTCATGCGGCGTACGTGATAGGGAATAATTTTGACATGACAGTGTGCTCTTTTTTTACTCCTAGAGACGCAGAGCGAATCGTTAGTAGTGTGAAGAGTTCTTCGTATTTCTTTATCGGGCGGCAGTCTGTGATGAAAAGCCGAGAATCAATGTGCGAATGTTCCATCCTCATTGGGAATCAGCAATGGCGCGACTTGTAGTTGCAACATTTAACCATTCAACCTTGGGCGGCCAATCAACAACCAGATTGTTCGCACTTACTCAAGATATAACGTCGCTCATTCTCTAATCAAGGGATCAACATCTCAAATGACACTCAACTTGTTACACGAAAATCCATTTGCCGTGGAAATTATCATTCCTTCTGGACTACTTATAGTCCGTTATTAGCGTGACGCCTTTTTCAAGTTTTCAATCAAACGGAAATCACTCAAAATTCCCGTTAAGCATGATTCGGGCAAAAACTTTCTCCTCACTTTGATTTGACCAACTCAACAATCATTCAGCAATATTACCCATTCCAAAACATACACAGTCGCAATTAAAATGCTGGGTTGCCCTGTGATCTGTAATTTCACGTTTACGTGCTCGACTATCTCGAGCTTACGAGGATTTTCCCTCTTGTTTTGTTACAGCTCTACGCCAGGAGGTTGAAGGCACCCTCGCCTACATGCATTCGTAAAAGCGTACAAAAATTGGTGCTGTATATGGAGGCTTGCTACTCCGGCTTGATATTTCATGGTGTGCTTCCTCCAACTATGGGAAGTAAGTATTGTGATTTTTGGCGCGCTGTCGGAGAGGTCCTGTGCAATAGCATCCAGAATTTCCTTCATATATTGTTAAAACACCAAACTGCCCAGTACCAACAAACGAATTTCCAAACTTTGCTCATTCACGTCTTCTTGGTGCCCGGCTATATGCAAGAAGTTTGCAGACCGGATTGCATAACATCTAGCCCTCCTCGATTAATGCCGCTTCTGTTGCCCGACAAGTTTCATATGCGTGTGAGAAATCATTGTGCGACCGGTAAATCAACTGTGATATTTTGGTGTCCCTGTGCAGCAACCAATTTCCTAAGTCAATACCGTCCTTGTGAACAACAGGTCTTATGCTTTTGACCCGACCAACTTTGATTAGTTTCATTCATGTTCTCTTCTGAGGAGTGTTTTACCATGAAAAATACACACTATACATTTACATACTTATTTTGGTGTTGACGGGCTGACTAAACCGAATCCAGATAAACGTTGGATTCATGAAAATGTTTGGCATGTTTTGTCCAGTCTGGTTTCAGAAAGTGATTAATGTTGAGGGAAATTCGAGGACCGTGCTTACCTGATTGCCTCTAAGAAGAGTGAGCAACATGGCTTTCTGTCAACGTGTTTCACCGACCATCCCATTAGTGTATTAGTACCAGGCTTCTTGCAGCTTCCCAATCTGTGAGTCGAAATACGAGCTCGTCGATAAATTGCCTCATCGTTCCCCCCTTTTTAATATTGATGTTTACTTTTGTTGTCTGAATGCCCCTAAAACTGCAGTCTTTGCGACGACGGCAGCCAACGTACATGAAGAAAGCTCGACAAGCGAATTGATATTTGTCTAGCAAACGAATACACGTACGCTTGGATTAGGGACACGGAGCACGTGATTTTTATCAAATCTGTTGCAGATAAACCTATCAGTTGTGGATTGGTAGTCCGTTGGTAGTCAGCGGCCAGTGGTAGTCCGCCTCTTTGTGTATTCCTAATGAGTTAGCGATACGTGCTTAATAAGTGTGAATCCTTGGGTGACAGTGGGGACAGGTGTCGCGACAGTCGTCAGATACTATTGACACCCGCGAACACTCTACATAAGGTTTTGTTTTGTCTTCTGAAACTCCCTGCTCACGTTGCGCAGACGTATGCTGCTCAAAATCCCCTGGTCTTGCACATCCATACTTGTGCCTATTCAACCATCGTTCCGCTGATGAATACTTCGCAGTATGTGGCATGCCCAGCAACATAGTGTTCGACGGTGCCGTCAACGTGAAATTGTCTGCTCATCCCAAAACCGTTCCTCAGGATACAGATAGAACCTGTGACGAAGCAAGGTATGGCGTTTAAATTCTGGATTATTTTGGCTTTCATCTAGCTAGGCAAACTATACTACTGGTCGGCACCGTACATGTCACCGATTCCCTTTAATGGTACAGCACTTTTTGTGTGACTGGTTATAAACGGTTTATGTACATTTCAGTCTGCAAATGACTACTCACCACCAGCTCCGTCACCCCTGACAACACCAGCGCCAATTTTGTTTACACGCTTGAGCGATGTAATGTAAATTCAGCCATCATGAGCTTACGCGGGCCCCAAACTAAGGAAGACTTTGGTTGGATGTCCAGCATGGCTCACTAACCTGCCGATTAGGTTCACCTTGTAGTCAGAGAAGGCGACTACAAGAGTCTGGGTGCTATCTGTGTAACTTGCCCTCTAAGCTGAAGGCCACCCGATTATCACGGTACCCGTTTGGTTCAGTGTCGGAAGCTGTGGGCACATCGGAATAATTGTGGTCGTCCCAGCGATGTCGGTGAAGTTCATGCTGTCAGTTTCCATCCAGAGAGTCTGACTGAGTGTCGGAGGTATAGGCATCTCTTTTGCTTGCTGTAGGCTACCACAAGGTTTTAATTCACGCTTCATTATGCTTTTTTTTCCAATACAATTAAAGTGGCACTTCTGTACATCTGCAGAGCACCAGTATTCACCGGTGTTTTTGCTATCGATGACGATGTTCATGATTGCCCTAGGGAAGTGAGTTGTCCACATGTGTTTTTATGCATATTATCCTGGAACAGAGATTATTTATTATTATAAATCCCTGGAACAGAGAAGGGATTAATAATTTACCGGTAGTGCATCGTTCCATAACTGGATAGTCTTACCTCTAGTTTTAGTTTCACGGTTTCGCCTACATTGCCCCCCTCTAAACATTACGCAAGCTGATCAGTCTGATTCGCATAGCTCTCCTTTGTAACTAACATTCACTCGCGTGAAGAATGACATCAAAAAGCGTACACTGGATCATCAGTACGAGGAGGTGAAAAACGGGACAACGCATAGTGAAGTGATAAAATAGGGTGATATGGTAAACTACAAAATGTCGCCGAGAAATTCAGTTGAGTCATTGTGAAATACCAAACTGTGATGAAAATGAGTGTATTTGTCGGGAATGGTAAACGTATTTCGCTGCCTCCGACAGGTGAATGTCAAGGTTGAGAATATTTGATTAGGGGATTCAGGTCAACAGACGAATTTGAATGAGTGGCTAATGCAATGGCGTCGGAGGACTTGTGCTCCTTACCTTTCTGTGCTATGACACGAAAAGAGTCCAAATCTCTATGTATAAAGGACAACTAAGTCGGTGGAGGTGTGGACTTAAACGATGACTGGAACTTCTATCTGAGAAGTTAACACTCGATGTGCCAGTTAATACGTGGCCACGTGTGCCGTCTAAGTTAAAGCGACCATACTGCTGATGAGTCCTTTGTGGCTGAACGTATTGAAAGCATTTAAGCATTGGCCGGAAGGTCACCGGTTCATCATTCCCTACTGGAGTGAGTTGCTCATAGGTGCTGACTTCCACCAAAGTACATAGATCTGTACACAGCTTCTCTGTCCTTCAGCAAAGATAGGCTTCACTAACAAGATGAAATACTAATCCAAATGACAAGGTTTCGCTATGGGGCACAAAGCGAATGTGTACAATTACGCGGGTAAAAACGATCGATATAATCAAGTGACAGACCATTCTGGTGCGATTCAAGTTTAAAGCACATTGTGTGTCGGCGTCGTTAGTGAACTAGGTAGCTGCGTTGAATGATTCAGACAATCCTCAGTCAATCGAACATTGGAAATGTACGTCAGCACATCGGACACGGCGCTTCGTTCCGATCCGTCGAAACTTGGTGTAATTTTGAATTTCGTCATGGACCTGAACGAGCGAATGATCATATTAGTGATTAGGTGGAAAACAGCATCACTATACATTGGTGTTTAGGAAACAGTTTCGGAATTGTTGTTCATTGCTCATTTGGCTCCTTCGTCTTCTTCGTTGTATGATATAATACGAGAACTTGGTTGATAATGCACTAGTGAGCGTGTGTTTATTATTTATTTCAGGCGATGGAAAGTCTACAAGTGGGAAATTTCCAAGGTCATTATAAGCTCAAGATGCACCGGAATGATGAGGAAATAGCTGTATGTGTTCAGCGCAATATCTGATATTTTGAATTGCTATTGAACGAGTCATTTCGAACGCAATTATGTGATTAAGGAATTAAGTGACATATCGATTGCGTCACTGAACGAAGCGCTTACCATCTCAGATAGGACACACTGGTGATATTTTGGACTGGCCCAGTAACCTCAATTAAAAGATTAAGTTTGCTTCGAATGTCTAGAGTATGCGATGAGC